TTTTTAGCATATCAGAAGCAGCACATATTCCAAACAATCAGTGGGGCCACTGGACAATAGAGCTACTAAAGGAGCACTCAGGAAGACAAGGCCTTTGTAGAAAAGCTAAATTAATTCTTTGCATCATCTTCACTGCAAAGGATGTGAGGGCGATCCCGACACCTGAACCTCTCTTTTCAGGTGACAAATCTGAGGAACTGTCCCAGATTCAGGTGTCAGTAGAGACAGTTTTGGTACAAATTGATACACGAAACAGTAATAAGTCATTAGGACACATAGTATTAACCCAAGAGTTCTGAAGGAACTCCAATATGAAATTGCAGAACTGCTAACTGTGGTATGTAACCTATCACTTAAATCAACCTCTGTATCAGATGACTGGCAGATAGCTAATGTGATGCTGAGTTTTTAAAAAGCTCCAGAGGCAATCCTGGCAATTACAGCCCAGTAAACATAACTTCAGTAAGAGGCAAACTGGTTGAAACTACAGTAAAGACCATAGAGCCCATAAAAGCACATGGACAAGGGTGGTCCAGCACATGGACAAGGGTGAAGATAGCATACTTGGACTTTCAGAAAGCCTTTGACAAGGTCCCTTAATAAGGGCTCTTAAGCAATCACTCAGTTTTGAACATGGTGGCATTGCCTCTCATGAGCATACCTTCTCCTCCTCCCAAGTGATGGTTCTTTTGGTGGGTCTTCAGTCGACCTTCCAGCTGAGACACACACACTGTCCCTCCCTTCCAGGATATATAATCTCTAGTACTTTCTCATGGCCCACACTAACCTTTCCATGGTCCTGTTGCTCTTCCAGCCATCCAGGTACCCAGTTCTCCTTCTTTGAGCTCCAAGAAGCAACTGGCTGCTCTGCCTCTGCTGCTTCCTTTTATATGGCCCTTCCGGCCCCCGATTGGTCACTCCAGCAGCCTCTCTGATGGGCTACACCCCTGCAGCCCATCTAGGCTGCTTGGAGGACTTCTCTGCACTTTTCTGGGGAGGCAAGAGGAAGGGCCACAAGGCCTCCAGCAGGGGGCCTCTGGATCTAGTCCACCCCATCACACCAAAGTAGGTATTGAGAATGATGATATTTTTCCTGGGTGTCTCAGCACTCTTTCCTCAATGAAATGCTTTGCATTTCATTAACTATCACCTAGCACCTTCTGTAGTCATAAGGAGGTATCTACCCCAACTTTCCAAACCATCTGTTCCCAAAAGTCAGGTGTCTTGTGTGCTAGGAGCCACTCCAAACCTCTTCTATTGTTTCCAGGGCTGAGGAAGCATGTAGTCCAGCAGCAGGGGAAGTAGGGTACAGTGTGTCTGTTTAGATATTGCAGTGATTGGTGTTATAGAATAACCATCCTAATATGTAGATGTGATATATAGAATCCACTGATTAGACAGGGCAAGCTCATGGAGAGAAGCAAAGGTGAGGCAGGATCAACCAAGACTGCAGCCACTCCCAGCAGCCACACAAACTCTCCTTCCTTTGTGGCAGAGCCCCCTGCCCAAAAGTCTGTTACCAAGTCCCCAGATGACAATCATAAGAACTGGCCAATTTCCTAAGAGTTAATTGATGCTGCTATGTGTTTTTGTAAATAATGCAGGTCTTGCCTTTGCCAAATACAGCTTTGCACTGTCTCTCGTGGTTACGGCATCTCCCCTGGAAACAACAGTCATTGTCACCGCATGGAGTTCCATCTTGCTTAAATACATCCTCTGGGCACCAGCTTGAAGTCCCATTGCAGAACTCGGGAAGGTCACACTCACCAATACTTTTTCTGCATATTTCCCCTTGTCTATGAAGCTGTTAAAATAAGAATACAAGGATTTGATTTCTCTCTGGAGGTCTATTTCATGAGCCACCATTTACCTTCTTAAAATATGTTTGTTTTAGGAGTCCCCAAACATCTAACAGGAAAGGAAAAACCCACCTGCAGTTGCTTTGCCTTTTATTTTAAGCAGAGATCAGATAAACAGAAGATGCAACATAAATACTCCTTGTGCTATCAATTAAGAAGTGCACTCTAATTCCAGTATTTAAAATATTTGTGATTCTTTTCCACTCCCAAATGATAAAACTCTTCATGCTTTAATCAATAACAATGAACAATGGAAAATATACTTTTTGTCCATCTATTAATTTTTTCCATGTTGAGTCTGCTGAGACTAGACCTGGGGTCACTTCACCTGCAGTATTCAGAAGCTGGACCTGTCAGTCATTGGGGAGAAGGGGATGGGACCCACCTATAAATATCCTCTCCAGAATGAGTACTTAGTAGAAGTAGTATGACTGTAGCACCTAGGCCTTGCAGTCAAGGACCCAGATCCCCATTTTGCTTGGCGCTATACAAACACAGAACAAGACAACAGTCTCTGCCCCAAAGAGCCAGCACCCAAGTATAAGACAAGAGACAAATGATGGCTACAGATAGATGGGGTAGCATGCAAGGAAACAATCTGACAGTATTGGACAGCTTGATAGGCAGTGGTCTTAGCTCACCAGCAGCCTAACTATTGTCAATTTTTTGGTAGGCATTAAGGAAAAGGATAGTTTTGAGATGGGTAATTGCTTAGTTTTAATCAGTGTTTATGGAGAGCTCCTCCCAAGCATGAGGGGCAGTATGGGTGAAAGCATGAAAGTCCTTGTTGAAAAATGTGACAAGAGGGTAATGAAAGCTGGCATCATGGGTTGATTGGAGTTTAGCATTGACCGCTCAATAGTAAATGAGAGATGACATGGTGGGATTGGTCAAGAAAAGTAGCATATATTTATATTTAATGTGAAAGAGAAGAGGGAGCCAGGGGAGGGGAGCAAAGAGACAGGTGACATGGTCAAAGCAACAAACTAGGAAAGTGATCTTTGCAGAAGCATTATGAAATTATATGAATGGGCAAAGATTGCATTTGTCAAGACCAGAGAGAAGTATGTTGCAGTAATTGAGCAGGGATGAGAATTTTAGGTGTCTGATTGGATAAGAAAGGCCATATCTTAGATATGTTATACAAAAAGAATTAGCAAGGTTTACAAACTGCCTGGAAATGAGGTCCTAGAGAATGGTCCAGCTCAAAGATGGCACCTAAGTTAAGGGGCCTGACAGACAGACAGGATGGTGTTGTCCACAGTGATCAAAAGGAGGTATTGCGGAGGGCACAGTGGGGATGGAGAGAAAGAAATGAGTTCTGTTTTAGCCATGTTGAGCTTGAGCTGATGGCTGGATAATCTCGAAGAGACATCAGAGAGAGAGGCTGAGATTTCTGTTTGGAGAGAGGAATACAGGTCTGTAGTAGAGAATTAGATCTGTAAGAATGTGTTTTGTTTTACCTATGGCCTGAAAGGAGAGTCTGGATGCTTCCTCCTCTGCCAATTACAGAGGATTCCATGAATCTTTGAGTAAATGCAACCTTGTGGCAAATATTTCTGAATAACTAGGCACTGAGGAAAAAGAAGGCCTATCAGTGTGCCAAGCACTACACATCTGTCAGAAAACATCCTTTGGAACTTTTGCCAAGTTTTCCTGAGAAACTGGTATGGAAGGATTGGGTGACGTGATGAAGTTGGATTGCTGTCAGAGGACTCCTACTCATGAGGTTGGAAGTAAAGGGCTGTAAGGACGGTAAGTAGAGGAAATGAATATAGTTTCTCCAATCCCAGGAGATTCTCTGCTGAGTCCCTTATTTACTGACCAGTTGAGATACTGATCTGTAGGGTGGGCTGAACGGAAGCACTTTCTGCTACTGTACTGGTTCCCACAGCAGCAGGTGCCACACTTATTGCATCAATGATAGCACAAGAACTCTCTGTTGTTGACACAGGCTTTTCTGGGGTCTAGAGGAGGTGATTTGATCTTTTATTGCGGAACCCTTAGTTGGGGGTCTGGCTGTCACCAAGGTCTCCTGCAGATGATCTGAGGAATCTCAGAGAGCTCGAGAGGGTGCAGAAGAGGAACTTATTTCTGTCTAAATAAGGATATCTTGCACTGGGAGCTGGAATAAGTTCTCCTCCTTCATGTGAGCCATCTTGACAGTGCCCAGGCTCAGATGACTCTGGACATAAAGGCATTCCATTCTATGGCGGGAAGTCAAGAACATAAGAACATAAGAAAGGCCATACTGGGTCAGACCAAAGGTCCATCTAGCCCAGTAACCTGTCTACCAACAGTGGCCAATGCCAGGTGCCCCAGAGGGAGTGAACCTAACAGGCAATGATCAAGTGATCTCTCTCCTGCCATCCATCTCCACCCTCTGACAGACAGAGGCTAGGGACACCATTTCTTACCTGTCCTGGCTAATAGCCATTAATGGACTTAACCACCATGAATTTATCCAGTTCTCTTTTAAACTCTGTTATAGTCCTAGCCTTCACAAACTCCTCAGGTAAGGAGTTCCACAAGTTGATTGTGCGCTGCGTGAAGAAGAACTTCCTTTTATTTGTTTTAAACCTGCTGCCTATTAATTTCATTTGATGACCCCTAGTTCTTGTATTATGGGAATAAGTAAATAACTTTTCCTTATCCACTTTCTCCACATCATTCATGATTGTATATACCTCTATCATATCCCCCCTTAGTCTCCTCTTTTCCAAGCTGAAGAGTCCTAGCCTCTTTAATCTCTCCTCATATGGGACCCGTTCCAAACCCTTAATCATTTTAGTTGCCCTTTTCTGAATCTTTTCCAGTGCCAGTATATCTTTTTTGAAATGAGGAGACCACATCTGTATGCAGTATTCGAGATGAGGGCGTACCATCTATTTATATAAGGGCAATAATATATTCTCAGTCTTATTCTCTATCCCCTTTTTAATGATTCCTAACATCCTGTTTGCAGGATGATGATGAAGGAAGAGGACAATAGAGAGAAATTAGAAGTCCATATAGGAACATAATGTTTGGGAAAATATCACTTTGGGGATGTTTTGAGGTCAGATAGGGTATGTCTACACAGCATTTGGGAGCAAGCTTCCCAGCCAAGGTCCACAAACTTGTGATAGCAGGGATCATGCTAGTGCACTATTTTTAGCTGTGTAGATGGTGCTTTGACATTTTGACTCAGGCTGGAGCTTGTGCTGTCAAGCCCACTCCACCTGCCCCAGGTTCAGAGTCTGAGCTCCAGCCCAAGGTGCAGCACCAAAGCACTGTCTACACAGTACACTAGAGCACCCACTGCTAGCACAATTCTGTTGACCTAGGCTGGGAGGCTCGCTCCAAAAAGCTGAGTAGACATTCCAATAGGGCTTGGAGCCATGCATTGCCAATGGAGACAGAACATTCTGGAGAGGAGCATTGACAGCTTTAGCTGCCATCCTTGGTGAGTGCCCTAACTGCCAGGTTATAGAATCATTCTCACACTTTCCCTGGCCACTGATTATTCAGTCATGCATAATAATAATGGATAGCTTTGGGGCTCATGAAGGCAAGTGATAATGGCTCTCTAGGCTGGTAGCTTGGACGTTTACCTAGAATGTAGGGAGCCTCACCACCAGCATTTTGTAAATTTCTCCTCCTTTGCTTTTGTCAAAATGCCTAAAGTCAAAACAAAAACATTTGATTTGATGTGAAACAAAACATTTCATTTTAACCTTATTGAAACATTTCGATATTTTGGTTTGGTCAAAATCGTTCAGTGAACTCTACATGAATTTGCAAATGGTTTTGGGTTGACCAAAATTTCCTTTTTCAGCAAATAAATGATTTGCTAAAAACAAATTGCCCAGCTCTAATCCCAACCCATCTACAGGGGATTAACAGATACAGTACTTGAGAAGGAAGTAGCATTGCCACTGGCTATTAACTTTAAAAAAAATAATTAAACATTCAGTTTACCATAAAATACAAAACCTACAATACATTTTTCTTACCTGACAGTTTTTGCAGCAAAGTCCAGAAATACAAGCAGCACCTGGCTTTATTACACAATTGGGTAGGCAACAACCACTCCGTAGGCACACCTTCAAATACAAAATGAATAGCACTTCACTATAAACATCTGTTGTGGGACTCTCCTGTAATAATACCGCTCTTATCATTTATTGTTTGATTTCAAACAGTAACAAAGCTCAGTGAATTTGAGAGAGAAACACCCATTTCTTACCTAGTTCTAATTACATAATACTTTTTAGAAAATTCTATTACTACTACTGTTATTATGTGCTATTTCTGCTACATAGGGAATCCAAAGAGAATGCTACCATCAAGAGAGGAAGGTTGATTAGGGCAGCTCCCTGGGACTAAGAATACTGGGTTCAATTCCCTGCTCTGCTGTGAGCTTCAGCAAGTCACTTAGTTTTTCTGTTCCTCAGCTTCCTATCCGTAAAATGGGAGCAATAGGGAAGTACAATCTCACAGGGGTGTTGAGGATAAATACATTAAAAAAATTGTGAGGTGCTAGACATTACAGTTACGCAAGTACCATAGATATATGTAATATTTCTAATGAGTAAGATATTTGCAAACAAAATCAAATAGTTTTAATGTAAACTTTAAAAGGCAGATTCACCAATACACTAGAGTAGCACAAAGAAGCCAAAATGTACTTTGTGAATCTGGCACTGATTTTCTAATTGACTTACTGGCTTGCGGGGTTGTGTTAGTGAGGCTGGTACTATGTGATATTAGGTGCGGGAAGAGCATAGTTCCTGAGTTCCAATGTCTCCATGGTTTAAGGGCACCCCCTGTACTCCTGCCTCAGTTCTCCTGTCTGTGTTGCCAAAATGGGAATGGTGCCAAGACAACCTTTTAAGGTTGGGAGCCTTTTAAGCACTGAGGTCCAAGCTAGTATGCAGCTATGTAATCTTTAAAGATCAGTGAGTTTGGCCAAATAAGCTGCATGTGTCCAGTCTCCCCTTGAACCAGAGCCATTCTACCCAATAGAACTGTGGCATCCAAATTAGCTGCAGATGATGGGTGATGGTTGATTGAGTTAGCACTGATGTCACACTGGCCCCAGTGAAGTTATCCAAGCTGTTGACCTGAGTCTGTTTGTAGCCAGTTGTGCTAATTGGGCCTATACATTTACCTTAATTAAAAGCTCAAATGTAAAACGTAAGTGTGAAGGAACTGCTCAGGCTGGTGGCAACACCAGTGGCGATGTCACCACAGGAGGTGGAACCTCAGGGGGGTTTGGTCAAGGTGACAGTTGGGAAGTGGATCTCGACAGAGGGAGATCTGGGAATTGTGACAGAGCAGTCACACGCTAGACTTGCCTGGATAATGGACTAAGTGAAGAAGCATTAGTAGAGCTCTGAGAAGGGAACCTGAAGAGGCTGAAATGAGCTGAGCTTGGTGTCCCTAGCCCCAGAAGCTTCCCATATTAATAGAACATGCTGTATGATGGTGTAAGACCTGGTCTACACTAAAAAGTTAGGTTGACCCAGCTACGTCACTCAAGGGTGTGAAAAATCCACACCCGAGTGACAAATTTAAGCTGACCTCACCTCTGATGTAGACAACTCCACGGTGTAGACAGAACTGGAATGCTGCAGCTGTGCCACCCTGGCATTTCAAGTGTAGACAAGCCCTAAGTTATTTAGGCAACTGATTGCCACTTCTTGAAGTGGTGCTATACAATAATTACCACAAGCAAGAGTTTATCTCTTGGTTTTCCAGTTCCTGGGGAGAAAAGACTAAACCCTTTTAACTCTGAGTCTAAAAGAAACAAGGAGTGAATACTGGATGGTAGCAGCAACACCACCAGATAGAGAGGATGTGTGTCAGCTGTTCACCAGAGGTCCTCAAAGTAAGTGAAAGTTTATATATTGTCACAATGACCTGTTACATCTTTTCTTAAACAATTTCATATATGACAGAGACAGACTGAATTCATTTAAACACAGGGGGTTTTATTGATACCACTGACGAAATCCTGCCAGAGAAAGGAACACAGAAGGGCACTACTACCTCCACATACTCTGGCTAATCCTGAACCGCAGCTATGATGATAGGGATATGATATAGAGGGACCTATACAAATTAGAGGATTGGGCTAAAAGAAACCCGATGAGGTTCAACAAGGACAAGTGCAGAGTCCTGGATGGAAGAATCCCATGCACTGCTACAGACTAGGGACCGAATGGCTAGACAGCAGTTCTGCAGAAAAGGACCTAGGGGTTACAGTGGACGAGAAGCTGCATATGAGTCAGTGTGCCCTTGTTGCCAAGAAGGCTAACAGCATTTTGGGCTGTATAAGTAGGGGCATTGCCAGCAGATCAAGGGATGTGATCGGTCCCCTCTATTTGACATTGGTGAGGCCTCATCTGGAGTACTGTGTCCAGTTTTGGGCCACACACTAAAAGAAGGATGTGGAAAAATTGGAAAGAGTCCAGCGGAGGGCAACGAAAATGATTAGGGGGCTGGAGCACATGACTTATGAGGAGAGGCTGAGGGAACTGGGATTGTTTAGCCTGCAGAAAAGAAGAATGAGGGGGGATTTGATAGCTGCTTTCAACTACCTGAAAGGGGGTTCCAAAGAGGATGGATCTAGACTGTTCTCAGTGTACCAGATGACAGAACAAGGAGTAATGGTTTCAAGTTGCAGTGGGGGTGGTTTAGGTTGGATATTAGGAAAAACGTTTTCACTAGGAAAGTAGTGAAGCACTGGAACGGGTTACCTAGGGAGGTGGTGGAATCTCCTTCCTTAGAGGTTTTTAAGGTCAGGTTTCACAAAGCCCTGGCTGGGATGATTTAGTTGGGAATTGGTCCTGCTTTGAGCAGGGGGTTGGACTAGATGACCTCCTGATGTCCCTTCCAACCCTGATATTCTATGATTCTATGATGTGAGACTTCATCTTGCCCACACCTAATCTTCCCCTATGTGTCCTCTTCCTGCCTCACCTTATTTCTTCTCTTTTCTAACACTCTCCTTTTTCCTTCTGTTTAATCAAAGCCTGGTTTAGCTGGCAGAGACTGTATATTTTGCAATCTAGCTGTAAGACTGTGACCAGAAAGGCAGTTAAAAACAATGCCCTAAACAGCCGAATGCTGGTACAAGTTTGTCACGTCTCAGAGTGATTGATAAGACTGTGGGCTGTGCCTGTGTTTCTGCAACAATAAGGTTGCAAGTAAGAGTCAGCACCAGAGACAGAAACTACATCTATTCTTATCTCTCCCATTGTGTGTTGGTCTTGGTTTTTCAGGATCGGACTTCAAGAACAACACAAAAACAACAGTTCTAGCCCATCTCAACTGACTTTCCTTTCTTTCCCCCCAAGAAGAATAGTTATTATCTTTGACACCATCTAAAACCCTGTCAAATAAGGGGTTTTCCTTTTAAAATCTCTGTCTATCTAAGGAAAAGGAAAAAGGGATATTGTTAAAATAAAAGCCTTATTTAATACTTTACATTGCAAATGCTTGAACTGCTTTTCCTTTTCTTTTGCATCTTTAATAATAGGTTCAATGGATTTGGGGTGCTTGCCATGATTGGGCATGGCCCCAGCTGTGGCTGCTTCCCCAATCAGCCTAGCTTGGCTGTTTAACCCCTGTTCTCCAGGAGTGGGGTAGCTGCCCCACTACTCTGGGTTACATTAACAAATTTTACTCTTTGGGCTCATATATGCCATCTAAATTAGTACAATAAGCCTACTATGGAGGTGCTGGTAATGACTTCATAATATAAGTTGAGTTTTACTTTGCACTTAAAACCAGGATTCAACCTCTTTGCTATGATATCCAGAGTACTTATAAGGAGCTGGCAATGGACTGCAATGCGAGTGTGTGAACAACATCTCAGTCAGAAACAGAAGGATCCCTGGGTGGACAAGCACACCATGGTTTGCTGAAGTTGGGAGCAGTATAATTGGGTTCAGAGAAACCAAATCAGCAGGGAGGGGAACAAGATTCAAGGTTCACAAGTGCAGAGTGGATCCCTTTTGGCTGAAGCCAGGATAATAGTTTTGTTAGCAGCAGAAGTAAGGGGCCAGTACTTCTGACAACTACTGCTGGGTCCAGGTCTGGTGCTATTAGTGGAGTAGAGAGGAAGAAGCAGAAGAAGAAACTATCAGTTGCCCCTGTGTGCATGCCTAACCCATCAGTCTTTCTCCAGAGTTGACTATTCTGTAAAAGACTTGAGCATTGACGTTAACACAACGTTAGGAAACCCAATTTTAAACACTAGGATCAAGTAGGTGTGGCATGCACTCTGCGGATGCATAAAAAGGCAGGAAGCCAGCCTACCCAGGACAATGAACTGGCCATGAATAAAGTCAGACTGGAAATTAGAAGTAACCATCAGAGGAGTGAGGTTCTGGAACATCTTTCCAGTAGAAGTAGCAGGAGCTTGATAGGATTATATGATGGGGTTTCCTGCGATAGCAGGGGACTGAACTCAGTGACTTCCAGTTCTTTGTTCCACAGAAGCTACATCCCAATGACTGAAGTAAACATTGCAGGGGGCTTGTGCTTTGGCCACCCTTTGCACAACCAACCACATCTCTTGCACCCCCCTTCACCAGTGGAAGCACTCAGGCCTCTTGAGAAAGGGCCCTCTGTGGCCATCGAGGATAGGGGCTAGGTTTGTATGCAAAGGGTTTGATCCTGTTAGTAGGCAAATAATATATACAGTAGAATTCACATAAAAATGCACACAAAGAGATGCCTCATTATACATTACTTCTGTTGATTTGAATGGATGCTGTAGGACTTATGGTCAGTATTAGACTCAGACGCATAGACTTTAAAGCCAAAAAGGACCATCATGATCATCCTGCTATAGATCCTCACTCACTCACTCTTGTAATAGACCCATAACCTCTGGCTGAGTTACTGAAGTCCTCAAATCATGATTTAAAGACTTCAAATTACAGAGAATCCACCATTTACGCTAGTTTAAGCCTGCAAGTGACCCATGTCCCATGCTGCAGAGGAAGGCAAGCATCTCCCTCCCCACACATCTCTGCCAATCTGACTTGGGGGGAAATTCCTTCCTGAACACAAATATGGCAGTCATTTGGATGCTCAGAATTTCAGCAAGACCAAGCAGCCAGACACCTGGGAAAGAATTATCTGTAGTAACTCAGATCCATCCCCATCTAGTGTTCCATCATGGGCTGTTCGGCATATTTGCCACTGGCAGTTGCAGACTGGCTACATTCCATTGTAGGCAGACTCCTCATACCATCCCCTCCATAAAGATATCAAGCTAGTTAGGTTTTTTGTCCCCACTGCTCCCCTGGAAATTTTGTTTCAGAACTTCACTCCACTGATGGTTAGAAACCACTATCTCATTTCAAGCATAAACTTGTTGATGAACATTTATATCCATTTCAGAGTAGCAGCCGTGTTAGTCTGTATCCGCAAAAAGAAGAACAGGAGTACTTGTGGCACCTTAGAGACTAACAAATTTATTAGAGCATAAGCTTTCGTGGACTACAGCCCACTTCTTCGGATGCATATAGAATGGAACATATATTGAGGAGATATATATACACACATACAGAGAGCAAACTCCCACCTGTTTATGCTCTCTGTATGTGTGTATATATATCTCCTCAATATATGTTCCATTCTATATGCATCCGAAGAAATGGGCTGTAGTCCACGAAAGCTTATGCTCTAATAAATTTGTTAGTCTCTAAGGTGCCACAAGTACTCCTGTTCTTCTATTTATATCCATTTGTTCTTGTGTCCACATTGTATCTTAAATTAAATAACTTATTTCCCTGATATTTATCCCTCTGATGTATTTATAGAGAGCAATCATCTCTCCCTTCAGCCTTCTCTTGGTTAGGATAAACAAGCCAAGCTTTTTGAGTCTCCTCTCGTAAGGTCGGTTTTACATTCCTCTGATCATTGTAGTATACCTTCTCTGCACCTGATCCTGTTTGAATTCATCTTTCTTATACATGGGAGACCAGAATTGCACACAATATTCCAGATGAGGTCTTACCAGTGCCTTGTATAATTGTACTAACACTTCGCTACCGCTACTGGAAATACCTCGCCTGATGCATCGTAGGATCACATTAGCCTTTTTCATGGATGCATCACATTGGCAGCTCATAGTTATCTGATGTTCAACCAATACACCCAAGACTTTCGCCTCCTCTGTTGCTTCCAGCTGATAAGTCCGCAGCTTATAACAAAAATTCTTGTTGTTAGTTCTCAAGTGTATGACCTTGCCCTTTGCACTATTAAATTCCATCTCATTTCTATTACTCCATTTACAAAGTCATCCAGATCTTCTTGTATGATATTCTGGTCCTCCTCCATATCGGCAATACCTCCTAACTTTGTGTTATCTGCAAATTTTATTAGCACACTCCCACTTTTTGTGCCAAGTGTAGCCTATAGGGCTACCCTGCTTGTTTGCCTACATATATTTTCTTATAGGTTTCTTAGCTTCTGATGGGTTTGATTATTTGGTTTATTATAATAGGCTATAATAGGTTATATTAAAGTATTTTGGCTGTAACACAAGAGACCTACAAGCCACATCCTATATGTTGATGTAAGGCAAAGTTAGCTACATGTGTCTGGGACCTTTCACCCAGATAGCAAAGTTAGCATACATATGTTCGGGACCTTTTACCTAGATAGGTCGTGATGAGTTAAAGCATAAGGTCCATATATGGCCGTGACCTTTAACATAGATAGATAAAGGATGCGTGGAAGGAGGTTGGCATAGAGGGCTTCCTAAGTTCATACTCCTTTAAATTTAACAGGTATACCACAAGGAAAGAATCGAAATAACCAGACAGGACAAAAATAACAGATGTGAGAATGATCTAATGTCATTAATATGTATGTATATGTCATCAATACATACAAACATACCAGCCTACGGAGTAAGTGTACCCTAACATTATGTGGGTGAGGAAACCAAGTTTGGATATAGAAGGAGGGCCTGAGTGCTCAAGCTCTATAAGAGGGGTGACCCACCATGCCAAGGAAGCGTCTAAACTTCTGAGTTCCAAAGCTTCTAAGTTTCAAAGCTTCTAAGTTTATTAGTCTATTAGTTCTTAATTGCAAGTTTTAAGTCAGTTAGGTTAAGTAAAACTCTAAGTTAGCTTGGATAGCTCTTAAGCTTCTCCTAAACTCTGCACTTCCCACTCAAGAATTGAGGAACCTGGATCTGAACTCTCTTGGCATTCCAAAGGCGAGGCTGGTCCTTTGTCTCTTACCACCAGGTTATCAAGGAAGGATGTGAGTATATTAATCAAAAGCTTTATAGTATATAGGATCACATGCATCTCTTGTACAATATTATTGCATTTGTAACTCTGATTATTTTACCATTTGATTAGTAGTTGATTATTATTCCATTTATCTGAATAAAAGTCTATAAGGCTATATTTGTCTCAGTGTGAGCATCCTGTCATACATCCCGAGGGTCCTTGCAAACTCTGTGTAGCCTGATTCTGGGGACAAGAATCTTATCATCTTTTGATTGGATTAATTGGCAAGCCTATAATCCATACTATCCAAATTAATAATATTAACCTCCTAAAATCAGGCAACACAAGGTTATTCATAAAAATGTTAAATCAGATTGGTGAGGAGCTCCAAAGTAACCTCTGACAATTCACCTTTCAGTATAATTCGTTGCAGTCTTCCCTTTAACCAGTTCCTTATCCACCCTTCAGTTCTCATATTAATCCCCATTTTCTCCAATTTAGCTAATAATTTCCCATGTGTAACTCTATCAAATGCCTTACTGAAATCCAAGTAGATTAGATCTACTGCACTTTCTTTCTCTAAAATAATCAGTAACCTTCACAAAGAAAGAGGTCAGGTTGCTCTGGCATGATCTACCTTTTATAAAACCATGTTGTATTTTATCCCAATTACTGTTTACCTCTATACACTTAACTACTTTCACTATAAAAATTTGTTCCAAGACCTTGCATACAACTGAGTTCATACTAACAGGCCTGTAGTTTCCTGGATCACTTTTCCCCCTTTCTTAAAAATAGGTACTATGTTAGCAATTCTCCAGTCATAGGCTATCACCCCTGAGTTTATGGATTAATTAAACAAAAGTGGGAAATATATTCCTGTATTTTTTTTAAAACATCCTCTTAAAATTCATTGTGTACACAAAGAGTAATTCACTTTATACTCAAAGCTGTAATTTTGATGTGCATAAGATGTGTTTTTTATACATAACAAAATAGTTGAATCCCTGTTTTAAGTACAAAACTTAATTCAGTCTTAACTATGGAACCATGAACAGCACTTCCATCATAAAACCATATGTTTCATGGAGCAGTTCTGAAGTTGGATAAAACAAACATAATAATGTTTCTGTAAAATATGCATGAAAGTAAAGTATTTAATTACTAACCTCATCCATACCACAGTCACATTCCTCCCTATCTTCTATTACACCATTACCACACATCTGTGTTCCAAATATTTTCTTTTCTGGTATGTTAAGAAGGCAAGTTTTTCCTGGTTTTCTTATCATGTTGAAATAGTCTGCTCTGGAGCAGTTACTGAACTCTTTGCATATTATCGTCCTGGACAGGGAGAAAATATTTAATACTAGAGAGCACTTGAATCTGTTGGTATATCAAAATCCAGTGGCTGGAAATTGAAGTTATACAAAGTCAAACAATTGAGAGTGGAACTAATTGTCTCATTCAGCACACGTGATGGATGCAAAAAGGTGTAATGGGAATCTTAAATGTGGCATTTTCCTAATTTTTAACTGCTTGAGATTTGGAGATCTGTTTAAAATTAAATGAACTTCTCTAATATACAACACAGAATGGAGACAAACTGACTATGCACTTAGGTATAAAATCAGACTATGCTTGACTCAGGAATAACACTGATCATTAAAAATGTATATACTGTAGCATCAAATCAACCTTGTATTACGTTTTCAATGGAATATTCTCTAGTCAACAAGTTAAAATTGAAATGAATTAAAATACTTTTGATTTTATAATGAATCACAGTTTAAAAAAATTCCTTACCTGGGTAATTCTTTCCTGCAGAATGATTCCATTAGTACAGACCAGACTGGCAGTCTTAACGTATATGAAAATCAATTTAGGGCCCACCAGTAGCAGCTGAGAATTTTCACTCTGTCACTGACTCCTCTCCCTTTTTCTCCAGTCAAAGTTTCCCAAAACTATAACTTCATCTTAGGTTAGCCAGTAATTGAAGTGTGCGTAATGTGCGGTTTTGGACTTTGTCCACAGAAAAAATTCCCAGGAGAGAATTTTTTTCTGCCACATCCTGTTTCTAACATGCTGAGAGACCAAGCTGTTTTGAAAGGACTATCCTCTCTCCCAGCAGGAGCCAAGAGGGAGAAGAACAGTCAGAAAGAACCAGACATCATAATTTTGGAGAACTGGGAGGGCCTGTGTCCTAGAAAGGGCTTATGAAAGGATATGTTAGAAAAATGAAGGTTACTTACCTGTAATCAGAGTTCTTCAATATGGACTCTACATATTCACACTCATGGGATGCTATGACCAGTGAAATGCAAGCTAGCAATGCCCATTGGAGAACTCACACACCTTCTTAGCAGACATTTAACATTCCTTGGCAAGTGTATAAAAGAGTGTGGCTCTCCAGCCACCTCAGTTCCTCACCCCCTGCCAGCCCAGGTCCCTTGGTAAGCAGGATTCCAAGGAAGTGGGTAGAGATGGGCGGGGAGTGTCCATATGCAGAGTCAATCTCAAAGAACTTCAGTTACATGTAAGGTTTCAGACGTATTAGTCTGTATCCGCAAAAAGAACAGGAGTACTTGTGGCATCTTAGAGACTAACAAATTTATTTGAGCATAAGCTTTCGTGGGCTACATCCGAAGAAGTGGGATGTAG